AGTATTTCTGTCTAAAAGTTTTTAGTCATCAGGGCTTTTGTGTTTACATGACTTCCCTGTCTCTTATCTACCAGTCTTAATAAAGTGGATAAACTTCTTTTCCTTAAACATGTCTAGGGGAAGAGATTCATCAATGGCCATGGATAATATCTCTTTGTTACAAATCCCTTTGCCTGCCATTAATTATAGACCTTTTAGTTTTATCCTCAGCACATATGCAACCATTTGTTTTTTTAATTATTAGCAGTTTCTTTAAGTTCTTCCTTTTGGCTTCCTATAATTCATTTAAAAAGTTACTTTGGTAGAACAAATATGGCCCATGGAGTAATAATTGGGCCCAGATACCCTGTGAACTTTATAGCTGTATAAGGATAGGTGCCAGCATTTAGAGAATTGTCTAGCTCAGGGGTGGGGAACTTGTGGCCTTGAGGCCACATGTGGCTTTCTAGATCCTTGGGTGTGGCCCTTTGAGTCCAAGTTTTACAGAAAAAATCCTTTTATTAATGGAATTTGTTCTGTGAAGTTCAGATTTAGTCAAAGGGCCACACTTGAAGACCTAGATGGCCACACGTTGCCTCCAGGCCACAGGTTCCCCACCCCTGGTCTAGAATTGTTTTTTTTTTCTTTTTTAGATTAAATTACATTTTTTTTTTCACTTATCTGTCACTTTAAATTACTGAGACACTTTATCTGTCTTTAACCTTCTTAGAAAACACTACTCTTGGAACTGTATCTCTTTTGGTGATAAATGAAAAGGGAATTTTCTTGTGCTTCCCACTAAATAAATTATTTGTCACAGAATACATCTTTACTTTCCTTTTCCTCACTAGAATAAGGAGATGGTTTCTGTTGTAATTCTATTACTAGTAGATATCTGGGAAAGTAGAAGGCATGTGGAAATATCTACAATTGCAATTGAGAAATCAAATTTCTCTTTAGAGAAGTTAAATTTCTGCTTGAGATCTGGAAGGGCTCCCAGTAGCTCAAACCAACACTTAAGCATATATCTCTTAAATATATCCTTTAGTCAAATTTAGCAAATAGATACTGATAACTTGTATAAAACAATATGGAAGACAGAGCCAGTTACATGGTTGTGTGTATTAATTAGTTGAGACAAATAATACTTTTAACTTCTGAGGCTCTTCCAGCTCTGAATGTGTGGTTCTAACATTTCTAGCAGTTTTTATGTCCGTGATTTCATGTAATTTATTTCCTTGGGTTCTGGCCATAAGGAGTAAAATAATTTAGAAACAAATTATTGAATATCTTGTCTTTCCTATTGGGTATTAATGAAATTATTTACACTGGGTGGTCAATTTCTTGGTGCTCCTACTTTCTGCTTTTCTTAATGTTGTGTAGTCAGTCAATGAAGTGTAACATGTAACTATTGGCCAAATCTTAGCAGAGAACTTCATCTGTTAAACTTGGCAACCACTATATGTGAAAGGAAGATTGTTTCATTTGTTGTAACATCAGTAATCTGAGATTCTAAAAAGTATCCTATCACTTTAAATTCTTTTTGATGCAAAAGGAATATACATTAAAAAGATGACATTGCAAATTCAAATAGTCTTGCCTTTAGGAATCATTTCAAATTTCTGAATGCATTTCAGAAATCTTAATTATAGAGTCTGCATTGACATCGGAGATATAAATTCTGTATCAGCATTAGAAAACTCTGGGTTTTAATCTTACCTCTGACACTATGTTTGTGATCCTGAAGAAGTCACTTGACTCAGTACTTTTTCTTCCCTCCCCCCACCCTAGCCCCACAAAAAAACACCTCAAGAACCCAGGACTGTAAGTTGCAAAACAACTTTGCTGATTTGCATTGTGAAAGAAGTTTGTTTGCCAGGAATTCCTTAAACCAATGAAATTACACGTCTATACATTGCCACCATCCCCTATCTAAAAAATTACTCTAGTACAAATGGGGGTTTAAAAGCAAGTGGATTTAGTCTGAGATTACAGACAAGCAGTATAGAAAAAATGTTAGAACTTCTTGTAATAGTATATGGAGCTTTTTGATGAGGATTAGCTATTGAAGACAACAGAATTCCTGTCAGGAATATTTAAAACATTCAGAAAGATAAAATCATCAATTTTTGAAAAAGAAATCATTGAAATAGGCCCTTCGTCCTATCAATCTATCTGATACAAAAGAATACACATGAAAATAGAAGATACTTTTCCTTTAAATAATTTTGCCTTTAAAAAAAGTGTTTCAGAAACAAGACTAAATGGAGTTTCAGAAGCAAATTATTCTGTACAGGCTGTCATTTGGTCTGTAGGTGTAACATGAAAAAAGTTCAGGTAATTGCAAACATTTAGAAAATGCTTTTCTAAATTTCTGGGAAGGATCAATTTAAAGTCACTTGTTCTTTCTTGGGTTTCAGACTGAGATAACAGTTGCCTCATTAATACATTCAAGGTGGCATTGCTAGAGCAGTTTATTTTGCTTTATGTTCACATGTTGCTCTAGTTCTAAGTTTTGTTCATAGGTGGGCCAGTTATTAACTCCTTTGATACCAAGGATGGGGTCTCTGTATGCCTACTTTTCCTAACTGGATAGAGCATAGGATTTTGCTAAATACAGTAAAGAATATCTACTTGCTATATCATGTTTCTTTCAGTTTCAATAACAAAGAAAGCCCTTGGCCTAATGGCACATCTTAGTTGAATCAGATGTAAGCACCCAAACCTTTGCAGAACCTATGAATTGTAGGTAGAAACATTTTTGTTATTTCAAAAAAGCAATAGATGTAAACTCCTAGTGGGCAAGGACTATCTCACTTTTGTATTTGTGTACAGTATATAGCATGTAGGTGTGTTGATTTGTTGACTGATAAGAGGAACATGATGTCTAATTCACAAGTAACTTTTTTATTTTTTACCAGAAAATAGGGATGGGGAGAATTTTTTAAAAATTAATTTATTTTTAGTTTTTAACAATCACTTCCGTAAGATTTTGAGTTTTAAATTTTCTCTCCCTCACCCCTCCCCAAGATGGCATGTAATCTGATATAGGCTGTACATATGCATTCATATTAAACATTTTCACAATAGTCATATTATAAAGAAGAATTAGAACCAATGGGGGGAACCATGAGAAAGAAGAAACAAAACAACAAAAGAAAAGGAGGGCAAATATGCTTCCATCTGCATTCAGACTCCATAGTTGTTTTTCTAGGTGTGGATAGCATTTTCCATCATGAGTTTTTTGGAGTTGTCTTAGATCCTTGCATTGCTGAGAAAAGCTAAGTCTATCAAGGTTAGTCATCGCACAACATGGCTGTTACTGTGTACAACATTCTCCTGGTTCTGCTCACTTCACTCAGCATCAGTTCATATAAGTCCAGGTTTTTCTGAAGTCTGCCTGCTCATCGTTTCTTCTAGCACAATAGTATTCCATTACATTCATACACCACAACTTGTTCAGCCATTTCCCAGTGGGTGGGCATCCCCTCAATTTCCAATTCTTTGCCACCATAGAAAGAGCTGCTATAAATATTTTTGTACATGTGGGTCCTTCCATTTTTATGATCTCTTTGGGGTACAGCCCTAGAAGTGGTATTGCTGGGTCAAAGGGTATGCACAGTTTTATAGTCCTTTGGGCATAGCTCCAAATTGCTCTCCAGAATGGCTGGATCAGTTCACAACTCCACCAACAATGCATTAGTGTTCAGTTTTCCCACATCTCCAACATTTACCGTTTTCCTGTTTTGTCTTGTTAGCTGATCTGACAGGTGTGAGGTGGTACCTCAAGAGTTGTTTTGCTTGCATTTCTCTAATCAATAGTGATTTAGAATATTTTTATATGACCATAGATAGTTTTAATTTCTTCATCTGAGAACTCCGTGTTCATATCCTTTGACCATTTGTGAACTGGGGAGTGACTTGTATTCTTATAAATTCAGCTTGGTTCTCTATATATTTTAGAAATGAGGCCTTTATCAGAAACACTGGCTGTAAAAATTCTTTCCCAGCTTTCTGCTTCCCTTCTAATCTTGGTTGCAGTGGCTTTATGCAAAAACTTTTCAATTTAATGTAATCAAAATCATCCATTTTGCATTTCATAATATTTTCTATCTCTTGTTTGGTCATAAATTCTTCTCTTCTCCATAAATCTAACAGGTAAACTATTCCTTGTTTTCCTACTTTGTTTATGGAATCAGCCTTTTTATCTAAATTGTGTACCCATTTTGACTTTTTATTGGTATAGGGTGTAAGATGTTGCTCTGTACCTAGTTTTTGCCATACTGTTTTCATTTTTTCATACTGTTTGCATTTTTTGTTAAATAGTGAGTTCTTATCCCAGAAGCTGGAGTCTTTGGGTTTATCAAACAGTAGATTACTATAGTCATTGACTTCTGTGTCTTGTGTACCTAGCCTATTCCACTGATCCACCACTCTGTTTCTTAGCCAGTATCAAGTAGTTTTGATGATTGCTGCTTTATAATATAAGATCTGATCCAGCTAGGCCACCTTCTCTTGCATTTCTTTTCATTTTTTTGATGGGGAGAATTTTTAAAGTGTTAGGGGAAAAGACCCAGTCAGACAACTCCAAAGCTAAGGCACGCCACTCAGGTTTGTGTTTTGTTTGCTCTTTAAGTTTGATTATGTACAATAGGATTATGGTGGCTTTTGCCCATGTCTGCACTTTTAAAAATAAATAGTAAAGAGGAGCACCTTTTCTTAGGTGAAACATAGGCCAAATTGGGGGGAAAATTTTTTGTGGCCCTCCTTCTTCCCTTCTCTCCTGCCCCAAATGTCTGAAAAAAAAAAAGAGAAACCCCTCAAAAGTAATTGGTGCATAAAGTCTTAGGATATGACACTCCCATGACTGTCTGGCATTTTAATAAATTAGAAGACTGAAAGGTCTTAACAAAAACAAAAATATTTTAATGGTAGATTATCAGTCAGTTGGAGAAAATTAGGGGAAGTATCTCAGATGTCCCAGGTAAACTAGTTACTCATAAGCCCACTCTGATCCTTTATTGTGTTCTGTTTTCTCAAAATTGTACAGGCAGTTCAATATAAAAGCAGGGAGTTGAATAAAGCAGTATTATGCAAAAACTCAGCAGTTACAAGTTAGCTTCTCTAACTTGTAGGGCATACAGCAGATTAAAATTTACTTGCTGGATGTTTTTTAGACACTTTGAAATATTTATATAATATCAATGCCAGTCCACAGACACGAATAATCAAGAGAGAGAAGAGTATGTATAAGGCTGTTTCTGCATTGGTGGCATCTAGCGTCAGCCCCAAGAACCAAACTTGCTTGTCTGTCACAGATTCAGCGGTGGGAACAACATCTAGGAGAGAAGCACATACCAAATGGTTTATTCCCCAAGTTTCAACTATTCTTATTTCCCAAAGCACCTTCAGTTTAAAAACTCAAATGTAGTTTGAGTCACAGAAGATGGTCTTATCTTTACAATGAAAACGTTTGTTTTTCATTATCAGTACTAAAACTACATATTCCACTCTCCTGGATTATATTAATTTAAATGCATATCAATGAGCCATTAGTATTATTTGAAGTGTATTCTAGGAATTAGTTTGAACAAATATATCAAGGTTTATGAGCTCAAATGAGATTATTTATAGATGTAAAGCACTTAGCAAATTTTTTGAAGTATGTAGATATGAACTATTATTATTGACTCTTTAAAGTCTTTCAGAGAGTTGATCTACAGTGATAGTATAAATTGAATAAATAATAACCCCTAATGATGGTGATTTATATTTTTAAAATGTTTTCACACTTGTTATCTGATGATCACAATAACAATATAGGTAATATAATAATGACAATAGGTAATATAATATCCCAATTTGATAAGTGAGGAAACTGAGGCCAAGAAAATTTGAATAACAACCCCAAATTATCTAAAAAGTCAGTGGTATACCAGGGACTAGAAACCTGGTAATATTAATAATAGCTAACATTTATATAGCATTGTAAAGTTCATAAAGTCCTTTATGTCTATCATTTGGTACTCACAATCACCCTGTGAGGTAAGTACTAGTATTTTCCCCATTTTATAGATGAGGAAACAGAAAAGTTGTGATTTGACTAGGGTCACACAGCTAGGAAGTGTTTTGAAAACAGGTTGTTTGGCTCCAAGTTCAGGCTTCTTTCCATTAGGCTCCCCTGGCTTTCTCTGAGTACCTTCAATTTAGAAAACTCAGAATGCCATTAGTTCCATGACAAGAATCCCCTGGAACATGTGTCACATTGGGCTTTAGGGATCTAGTGAGAGACAGAGACAGAGTACACCTTCCCTTTTCACCCAGCCCCTTATTTTTTCTGATTTTAGGCAGCTGCTCCTGCAAAGTCTCACCTTCTGACTGGAGGCAGGGGTGTGGCCCATTGGCTGGGTCTGGGAAGCCATTGCATCTGATTATAGAAGCATAAAACTTGGCAGATTCCTTGGGGATCCTTGGGATGGAGGGGTCACTGTAGTTTGTGAAATACATGCCAAATCTCTCTGAAAAGCCAGTGGCCCATTCGAAATTGTCCATCAAACTCTAAAGAGTATAGCCACGTATATCCACGTTATCCTGGATAGCTGTAAGAACACAGAAGCCCAAGTATGAGGTTTCCTGTATGATGTTGTCCTTAATAGCACCTCAATATACCTCTCCCCCTTCCTCCCATAGAAAACTTCATATTCTAGAAATTCTTCCCAAAATCCTTTCTGCTCTTAATTATCCTCATATCTCCACCCTATTTCATTTGTCTTGTGCTTATTTTACAAACTGAGATTGCAGAACAGGGAGACAACCTGTCCTGTCCTACCAATGGGAATATAGGGTTATAGACTGAGAGCTGGAAGAGAGGTGATAGGAGGATTCTGCCACTTTGCTGTCTAGGAGTGACTTGGCCTTCTACTTCACTTTGATTTGGCATCTCCTCCTATCTCTTAGGGCTTCCTATGTCAGTCAGTGTGTGGTGTCTTATCATCTAATTTTTTTTATACAACAGGCACTACACACAAATAGGAAATAAATGGAAATTCATTTCGGTAATCATTAAGCAAGAGTTTGATTTGTGTGTAAAGGTTTTCCCAGAGTTTTCAACAATCTAAGGTCTTGGTCACTTTCTTTGACAACTAAGTAGGTAAATAAAATTCTCTTGTTCTCAAAGCACAACAGTTTTGGTGAGCAAAGGTTCTAAGACCCTTTTCCTCTGCTTGTTAACTCAGTAGAATCAAGATCTAAGCTCCTCGGAGTCTGGGTTTGGTTTTAACTCTAGGCTGTCCTGCAATTTGGACAATTTGTAAACTGCTTGCCGTAGTATACAACTGTCCACTGGAGCTGGTCTTACGAAGCTAAAGGTCTGGAAGGGCCTTGACCATTTGCAACCTTTTAGGGCCTGAATTATAAGAATTATGGGAACAAAACAGAGGACCAAAAAAAGTGAGACATGTTTTGAATTCAACAAATGCTTTTCTGACCTTTTTCTCCTCACTTCAAGTGAGCTAATTATTAAAGGGGAACAAAATCCAACTTTCATGTAATATCATGGTTGTTATTAAGATCAATAAGACCACTTCAGCACTCTTGTTCCATAGCTGAATAGTGATCACTCTTTTCTTCCTACATTTGAAGGTTCCTTTGAAAAGGCCAAATGGCCCTACTAGCTCTCTAGGACTGACCCTTGTCCTACTGGCCCCAGCTTAATAAATGAGAAGAACAGGTTCATTTTTTCTGGAAATACCAGTAAGCGTTCTCAGCAAGGAATAATTTATGGTAGAAACCAAAGTTTCTAGTCATTGTCATGGTTCAAAGGTTAATTACACAAAGAGACAAAGCTGAAAAACTGAAGTAACTCACTTCAGGCAACTGGCTGTTGTCCAAGAGGGTTTAGCCTAGAGAGAGAGAACTCAGAGTTAAGAGGGGACATCTGTCCTCTATGAAATGAGTGATTTACCAGTGAACCACTGTCTTACAAATCTGCCCTAAGTTTTAATGGTCACTGACTTTTATCTGTGAAGGTCACAAGCTGATGATATGCTCAAGTACCTTTAAGAACTTCATCAATGTTAAGTCTGGAGGTAATAGATTCTTACGGTGTCATTGAGGCTTGAGGTTTGTCGCTCAGAAACCCCATTCTCTGTAATATAAATTGTAGGGTTGTTGTACTCTTCCTTTAACCAGTTCAAGATTCTTCTAAAGCCAAAAGGAGTAATCTTCAATCAGAAAGAGCATGAATCTGGCCAACTGCTATCTGCTATGGAAGCCACTCCCCTTGGGACAAGAATTAGACTTAGTGAGAGACAAAAGCTTAGATCTCATTTTGCCAAATCCCCATCTATATCCCCCACCTATCCCCAGACTGTGTACATTTTAAATAAATATATATAAAATATGTATTTTTTAAATTTATGGAATAAAACAAGAATTTCCATAACATAGTATAATAAAAAAGATGATTGCATATGAAACTGCAAATTTATTACATACAACTTGCTATTCCTTTTAAATATATAATAAAGTTATCATGTAAATATCAATAAGTCTGAAATCTGGACATAACTGGGAAGAATAATTTGTATCTCCAGAGCTTAGTGCGCTGCCTGTCACACAGTAAATGCTTAATAAACACTAGCTGATGAAGAGGAGGAGAAGGAAGTAGAGATTGACTTCCTTCTTAGAGCAGGGCAGACAAATTTCCAAGATGTTGTATGGCTAGGCTGAATTTCCAAAAAAAAAACAAATAAAAAAAAACAACAGCATTCCATTTAAAAAAATTACCTCTTTCCCCTCAAATTAAAAGCTAAAAGTTAAAAGATTGGTGGTGCAGTTCTCTCAAGGCTACTGAGCAGATTCCTAATTGCCCTCTTGGATTGTTCAATTCTGTACAGAGAATATGATTAGTACAGAAAATCCCAATTCTTTATGGATTAAGACATAAACCCAAGTGTAACATTTACCTTAACAGGGTAGGATTATTTCTTGTTGCAAAGCAGGAAGCCAATATGGACCTCACTAGTCTGAAATTCCTTAAAGAGGCTTAGGTACAAGCAACTACTCACTTTTTATTCTTCCTTCCCTTGAGAGCAGCACATTAGTGCTGCTCAGAAAGTGAACTAGTATAAAGCTATTTTGTCAGGACGTTGGGAGTTCATACCCTGGTCTACGAACCATTTGCATAGTTGTCCTTTGCCATTAGACTACAAGTTCATTGTAACAACTTTTGTCTCTCTGGCACCTAGCACACTGCTAGATGTTTGATCAACGCTGGCTGAATTTGAATTTGCATGATTTGCCTGAGTGGAAGGGACAGGTTAAGAAACCAAGATCACTGACTTTAAATATTTATAACTTGAGTGATTTTTACTAAGTGCTTTTGTTTTCAATCCACCTGACCTGACTTTCTCTGGAAATACTGGACCAGTATTTGAAAGTCTGCCATAGGGAAGAGATAGTGGACTTGTTCTTCTTGGGCCTGGAAGGCAGAGCCAAGACCAAAGAATGATGGTTGCAAAGAAACAAATTTAGGCTCTGGGTCAGGAAAAACTTCTTTTAGAGCTGTCCAAAAGTGGAATGGGCTGTCATCAAGTACAAGTTGGACGACCATTCACTGGGTCAGTTTTGGAGAGAATTTTTAAGTATAAGTTGGATTAGACAGCCTCTGACGTTTCTTCTAACTCAGCTGTGAGTCTATAACATTTGCCTCAGCCCACTTCCCTTAGTGGGACCAGATATTTTAGTCAAGTCCAAGAAACAAAAGAAAACAAGCATGGCAAATGTGAGACACAGACTTCCTGTCCTGCTTCCTTCTTACCCGACAGGCAGCTGAGGCTGTACCCCAGACAAAGCCCTTAGGAAACTCTCCACACAGAAACTCATTCTCCTTTTCCATCGGCATGCCATTGTCGCTGATAACTTCTGTGTGGTACCTAGCTGAAGCTCTTGCAGTCCAGGCTCTGTTGGTATCATTAAAATCTACCTGGAAGAGTCCAAACTTGACACTGTAGCCATTCAACCACTCAAAATTATCCATCAGGGACCAAGCCACATACCCTCGGAGGTTAACGCCATCCAGACTGTAGGCTGATAAAATTTCAGAGGGAGGAATATTCAAGGAATAGTTTTATGCTGTGAATTTGAGCTGCTGGGTGGTACAGTGGATAGAGCATTGGGCCTATAGTCAGAAAGACCTGAGTTCAAACTCAGTCTTAGCTGCTTACTAGCTGTGTGACCCTGGGCAAGTCACTTAATTGTTGTCTGCCTCAGTTTCCTCAACTGTAAAATGGGGATAATAATAGCACCTATCCCCCAGGGTTATTGTGAGAATTAAAAAAGATAATATTTGTAAATAGAGCTTAGCACAGTACCTAGCCCATAGTAGGTGTTCAATAAATGCTTGTTTCCTTCCTTTCTTCCTAGTATCTTGAACAGAACTAGACATTCTACTGGATCTTTAGTATTATACTAAAAAACAATAGTTCATCAAGCCCAAGAAGCCAGCTCTGATTAATTGAGCAGATAATGTACCATTTGGGTAGATTAACTTTGTGAGAGGAGAAGGTGCAGGTACAAGGTCTACAGTATTGGGCATATAGAGCTCTGAATACCCTCAGAAACATTGAATTTTAGTTATGAAAAAAAAATTCCAATAAAATAGAACTTGGCGGGGGGAGGGAGCTGTTAAGAGAAGTCAAATCATTTTGCCAAACAATCCCAGGCATGTGACCCATGGGACATCCGACATTTCTATCAGCTATCTGACAAGCCCACATACCTTTCAAAGCTTCGTTGATGTGAGTTTTGTAAAAAAATATCCTATTTGTGTCTTCAGTCTCAGATGTCTCAAATCCCACTCCATTTTCAGTGACATAAATGGGAATGTCACCATATTCTTCTCTGATCCAATTCAAAACCCTTCTCATCCCCCAGGCCACTACTGTGTTGAGTGCAGAGGCAGGCATAGAAGTATCCTCTTCCTCTGTTCTCTCCTGATCACTTTCATAAGAAGGAGGGTTGAGCTGGGAGGTTATGTGTGCCACAATTCTGGAAGAGTAGGTGTTGAGGCAGAAGACATCTGCTGTGTTTCTAATATACATCTTTTCTTCCTCTGTGAAGCTGGGGAGGTGAGAAGTGACCAGATTTTGTAGCTCACTCCTGTTTCCTACTTTCCACTTCATAACATCTGGGTAGTCTCCGTTTTTGAAGATGGGATGGGCAAACCAGCCCAAGTTAAACTGCAGAGCCCTATCAGCTGCCTCAACATCTCTTAACAAGTTAGGTAACTTGGGTTCCATCCAGAGTGTGCTGAGGCTCAGGGAAATGACTACTTTCTGACTCTGCCTATACTTCTCATCATATGTATGGTAAACTCAGGCATGAGCTTTGATAAGGGTATGGGCTATTCTATAAGGTGTATAGCCAGGATCCTTCACATTTGGGGGAAATACCCCTTCACCATACCCAAGTCATGCCTGGTATACAGGTTCATTAAATGTCATCCAGAATTGGACCCGATCACCAAAAGCACGGAAACAAAAGTCTGCATAGTTATCAAAGAGCTCAATTAAGGAAGGGTTTTCCCAACCACCAATTTCCTGCAAGGCTTGGGGTAGGTCCCAGTGGTACAATGTCACCATGGGAATGATATTGCTTTTCACCAAGCCATCAATAAGTTGGTTGTAGTAGTTAACTCCATTTGTGTTGACAGAATCAATTGTCCCCTTTGGGAAAATTCGAGACCAGGAGATAGAGAAGTGGTAAGCCTTGACTCTCAAAGCTCTCAGGATATTAAGATCCTCCTCCCATTTATTGTAGCTATCACAAGCTACATCTCCATTGTCATTGTTTTTCACATTATTCCCTGGTGTGTGAGTGAAGTTATCCCAAATTCTGGAGCCCTTCCTATCTGCATCCCAGCCTCCTTCAATCTGATAGGTAGAAGAGGACACACCCCATATAAAATCATCCAGGAATGTTCCCTGGTAGAAGAGATCTCTTTCAAATTTGGGTTCATTGGAGAATTTTTCCCAAACTATCTTAGCCTTGGAAGGAACCTCTGAGGGTCCCAGAGTAACTGAAACTTTGGGGGGAGGACTATAAAGGAATGGCCGAGAAGATCTGTCTGTCTCTTTAGTCAGGAAGCCATTCTTTTCAATGAGTCTAGAGAAAAAATAGGCAGATTTCCTGGGGGTTCTAGGTCTGCTGCCATCTTTGAAATTCACGTAGTGTAGCCCAGATCTTTGGTTGTAACCTGATAGGCCTTCAAAGCCATCAATGAGGGAACGAACAATGTAGGACCGAACATCCACAGAGTTCAACTTGATAGCTAAGAAGAGAAAACAGAGAATTGATGAACATTAAAATCCTTTTCATCTTTTCTTTTTGTTGTTTTTTAAAGTTTTCTTTTTCATGTGAAAGATTTGGAAGTGTTCATACTTCAAAAAAAAGGTAGCTAACTAATATTTTCACCACTCCAGATTAAAGAAAGACACATATATTTACCTCTTGCATACAATCAATAGCAATAAATTTCAAATATGAACAGTATCTATAGCTTTAGAAAAGCACTCCACTGGTACATATAATCCACTAATTTCTATACTACAAATAACTCATTATTGTTTTACTACTTTACTTATTGACCTCAGGTATCACCAGCACAAAATTACTAAACTTTTTTTTATGCTAAAAGGATAAATAAACCAAATATTCTAGGGGTTATTCTCTCTCATGGAAGAACCAGATAGCTAATTCCCTGGTTTGAATCATCAAACAGGTATGAATCAAGTATTATTCAAATAGCACCTGAACATTTAGAACTATTTGTTGTGTTTGGGAGTATCAAGTCCTGATTTAATCAAGTTACACTACAGCTCAACAACTCAGGTAACTATGTAAAAATTAACCCATGATTGTGTGACTAAAAAGCTTTAGACTTAGAAGAAGAAGACCAGGGTTTGATTTCCAGTTCTATCATCTTTTAGTTGGATGAGACTGATTAAGACACTTAACCTCTCTGAGGCTCAGTTTCCTCACTTGAAAAATGGGTGGAGTGATAAGGAAAGAGTACTTTGGAATCAGAAGGCCTGTACTAAAATTCTACCTCTGACACTTAGCCCCTGTGTGATCTTAGGCACTCACCTTCCTAGGGCCTTGGTTTTCTCATCTATAAAATGAGGGGGTTAGATTGGAGACCTCTAACATCTCTTCTTACTCTTAAACCCATGATTTCAAAAGGAATAAATCATGCAAAATACTTCATAACTTTTGGAGCAGCTAGGTGGTGGAGTGAATAGAGTGCTGAGTCTGAAATCAGGAAGACCTGAGTTCAAAACTAGCCTCAGACACTTACTAGTTGTGTGACCCTGAGCAAGTCACTAAGCTATGTTAGTTTCAGTTTCATCATCTGTAAGATGAGATTGAAGGAAATGGCAAACCACTCCAATATCTTTGCCGATAAAACCCCAAAGGAAGTCCCAAAGGGTAGGATGTGTCTAAAAATTACTCAACAATAATGACAACAAAAACCTTGTAACTTTAAAGTGCTATGTAAATATAAACTTTTTTTTTTTAAATTTGTGAAAGGCATCATTGGAAAGGCACTATTGGACTTGGATATTTGTCTCCCACTCACTAGCTGCTTACTAATGAGATTGGTCAGAGCAATAACTAGCAACTTCTGTATCCAGGACCAATAGCACAAAATGTGCTCTAAAATTTACCTTTTAAAACAATTGAGGTGATAAGATATATATATGTGTGTATATATATATATATATATATACACACACATATGTGTGTATATATATATATACACACATATGTGTGTATATACAGATATACGTCCATGTATATACATGTGTATGTGTATATATACATGTATACATACATGCATAGATGAAATAGTTAATCATTCACTGTCTTTCATTGTTATTTAAGTACCCAAATGTGTGATAGAGACAGTAAGTCAAATAGAGATGGGGGTGGGGAGGTGTGTGAGAGATGAAAGTGGGCTGGAATGACTGGAAGGGCTTCATTTGAGCATTGGGATTGGGTTGGATCTGGAAAGGAAGAGGGTTAAGAGGAGGGATTCCAGGTTGAAGAAACAGCCAGAACCAGGTGATGGATTGGAGAAAGACAAAGGGACAAACCCTGTCCTTAGAGGTTGCAGAGTGTAGCAGAGAAAATGCTGGACTTCGAGTCAAGAGGTCTAAGTTCAAATGCTGACTCTGATTCTTTAGCCACTAGAAGCCTCAATTTCCTCATCTGTAAAATGGGGGTGGCAATGCTGGTTCTGCCTTCATCCCTGGGTTGTTATGAAGGAAAGTGCTCTGTAAACCTTCAAGAACTAAAGAGATGAGTGAGTGCTTACCTTTGAGCACCTCATTGATATAGAGATTGAAATAGTTACTTCTTGCGGAATCATCAAGGACCCTGCCTTCTTCCAGTGGCAGGCCATTGGCAGCCAGGTAGATTGGAACATTCCCTTTGGTATATTCCAAGGACACAAACTGTAAGAGTCTCCTGAGACCCCAAGGCACCACCCGAAGCCAAGGGGATGATGTCCGGAGCCAGGTGGGGTCCATGTGCTGGGAGAAGCCCCAGAGGTTGTCATAGTCCAAGACACAGGAGCCATTCTGGGCATCCCTAATCAGGCGGGCGGTATAATGTGACAGGCCGAGAAAGTCAGAGGAACCTTTCCAGAGAAGCTTCTCTTCCTCAGTTAAACTAAGAATCTGGGCGACGAAGCTGCCACACTGTCTGTTTTTCTGCCGGATTTGTTCCTTCAGGGTGTCAGGGTAGTCACCATCCATAAAGAGCGGGTGGGCAAACCAGCCCAGCATGGAGTGCAGGTAGCGCTCAGCGGCCCTCACATCCTCGGCCTCCTCTGGAGAATAGGGCTAGCCCAGTCGGAGTTCAGCACGATCCCTAGCTGCCCCTGCTGCTGCCCATGATGGTGGCGATCATAATGATGCCAACCCTTGGCATGAGCCTTGAGGATGGAGCGAGCCACCTTTGGGAAAGGAGGGAAAGAGAGAACAGAATACAGGCTTGAGGGATGCTTATTTATTTTGTTCCCTATACCTGTGATCTCACTGGTACAGAGGACTCCAGAGAACTTCAATTACACCAGTTTCACAACTTCTAGACTTAGTGGACTGCCTCAGGGCATCTAGGTGGCCAAACAGATAGAACACTGGGCCTAGAGTCAGACGATCTGAGTTCAAATCCTATATTAGACACTTGCAAGTTCCCATCACTGCACATGTTACTTAGCCTCTCCGTGCCTCACTTTCTTTGGCTGTAAAAATTAGGGAGTTGGGCTCTATGGGCTCTAAGGTCCCTCTTAGAGGATTGCTTGGGGTGTTTAGGTTGCGGCAGACACAATGCTGGGTGTGGAATTAAGTAGATTTGAACTCAGGTCTTCCTGATTCAGTTCTCTATTACCCCACACTGCATCTTTGAATCTGATATCTCAACACCTGAAATCTCATCCCTCTGCTAATTGGCTCAATTTTTGGTAGACAACACCTCAACCCCCTCAGCCTCCTCTCCCCTCTGACTGGAGGGCAGGAGACTCCTTCCAAAGCCTTCCTTTACAGAGGGCTCAGACATTTCCAAACTTTCCAAGTAACTCTCCATTTTCCATCAGAGGCTCTGCTTGGTTTTGACTCTATAAAACATCATACCCTCCTCCCTCTCCACTCCCCTCAACCTTTTTGTAAGTTGCCTTCCCCCATTGAATTGTAAGCTCCTTGAGGGCAGGAATTGTCTTTCTTTTTCTTATTTGTATTCCCAGCACTTAGCAAAGTGTCTGGCACATAGTAGTTGCTTAATAAATGGTTACTGAATTGAATTGAAAGAAGAAAAGGACCCAAGTAAAACATTTACCCAAAACAAAAACATTTAGAGCAGCTCTTTTTGTTGTGGGAAAGAATTGGAAAATGAGAGGATTCCCATCAATTGGAGATGGACTGAATAAGTTTTGGTAAATGATTGTGATGAAATACTATTTTGCTATAAGAAATGATGAAGGGAATAGTTTCAAAAAAACTTGGGAAGACTTGTAGAACTGATGCAAAGTGAAGTGAACAGAACCAGAACAATTTATACAATAACAGCAAGATTGTATCAACTCTGAAAGCCTTAGGAGCTCTGAACAACACAACGACCAAAAACCACAATTCTAAAGGACTCATGATGAAATATGCTATCCACCTCCAGGTAGAGAGGTGATAGGGTCAGATTACAATTTAAAGCATATTCTTTCCTTCCTTCCTTCCTACTTTTCTTCCTTCCTTTCTTCCTTTTTCTCTTTCTTTTTTGACATGGTTTATGTGGGAATTTGTTTTGCATGAATATATACATATATGCATATGTGTGTGTACACATACATGCATATCATACATACACATACACACATATGTATATTGGTTTGCTTAGCTCTCTAAAAGACAGAGAGACAAAAGTGCTGGGCTTTGAGTCAAGAGGACCTTGGTTCCATATCTCTTTAGAGTTTCATCTTCCAATAAGATACAGGCATCTCAAGGACTATATATTGCCCCATAGCATCTTAGTGTGATGCTTAAAAAAAAATCCTTTTTGCATGTAATTGTATTACTACTCTACTCCACTCATTTAAAAATTTTGGTTGAGTTATTGTGGAGTTGTTTTTGTTTTTGTTTGTTTTTAGCTATTTCTCTTTTCTTTGGTATTTCTACCTGTTAATTTTTTTTGGGGGGGGGGGCTAGGCAATGGGGTTAAGTGACTTGTCTAGGGTCACACAGCTAGGGAGTGTTAGGTGTCTGAGGCCAGATTTGAACTCAGGTCCTCCTGACTCCAGGGTCGGTACTCTATTCATTGCACCACCTAGCTACCCCATTTGTTAATTTTTGAGGAATGTGTGAGAAGCCTGATTCCACTAGATTGTCTCACTCTGCCATCTTGCCTGGAAAACTCTGAATGGAATTTAAATGAAAGCAACGAATAGTAGGAAAAACTATAGTGTAATATTAATAGCTACTCTAGGACACATTGCCATGGAAAGAAGATTTTATAGAAGAAAAGACAACTCTTGCTACAGTGGAAAGCATGTTGATTCTAGAGTTGGAATATCTGAGTTCAAATCCCATTCCTGGTGCTTACTCCCTATGGTTGACCACTTATCATCATAAGCCTCAGTTTCCTCATATATAAAATAAGAGGGTGGCACTAGAAGTTCTTTGAGATCTCTTCCAGCTATAGACCTCTATGATCAGTCAGAAATGGTATCTGTACTAGCTGAGGGAAAGGGGATTAGCTCAATGTCCTTTCCTAATATTCCATTAGAATGTGGACTCCTTGAGCACAGACTATGTTTTTGCTTTTCTTTGTATCCTCAGCACTTAGCACAGCATTTGGCATATAGTAAGGCCTTAATAAATGCCTGCTGATTGAGAGCTTGATCAGAACAGCATAATTAAATGAGGCGATTAAATGAGGGTCAGAGATGCCCGGGGCATGCTGTCCAGTGCCATAGCCTGCGTAGCTTATCACCCAAGGTTCATGAAAGGTCACCCATAGCTTCACCCGGTCCCCAAAGGTGGCAAAGCAAAAAGCAGCATAGTCCACAAAAGCATCCACCACACTCTCATTCTGCCAGCCTCCATGATCCTGCAGGGCCTGCTATAGGTCCCAGTGGAACAAGGTCACCATTGGCTCAATGCAGGAGGCCAGCAAACTGTCAACCAACTTGTTATAGTAGGCTACACCCCGGGGGTTGATGCTGCTCTTGTAGCCTATGGGGAAGATCCTAGACCACGAGATGGAAAACTTGTAGACCTGAGGCTGGAGGCCACGGAGGAGAGCGACGTCATACTCAACCTTGTGGTAACTGTCACTGGCCACATCAGGGACTGCTTTATTCTCGGCATGGCCCTGATGTCCGAACCTGTCCCAGATGCTTTCTCCTCTTTCACCTTCTGCCCACGCTCCCTCCACGTTAAAGGCTCCTGTGGCAGCACCCCAAAGAAAACCTCTAGGGAAAACATCATTCAGGAATGAGTCTCTGTCTGCCACAGACTGGTTAGCAAACATCTGCCAAACTTGCCAGTAGGCTGAGGCAGGTGTCACAGAGAGGGGTGCCACTGGGTTCCTTTCCTGGGTTTGGCCAGCCAGATTGTCAGGTAGGGAACAATACCTGCTAAAGCATAAGAGAAGGAAGGGATCATTTGCTTTGTTTAATTTGCATTGATGTGGTTTTTTTATACCACTTTCATTTTCAAATATATCCCCATCCACCCCCCTCCCACTACTTGAACAATTCCTTGTAACAAAGAATAAAAAAGGGGGGGAGGCAGGAAAGCAGCAAACCAAATAACACATATACAATACAATGCAATATAATAATCATTTATTAAGCATATGTGCCAGGCACTACATTAAGCACTGGGGATACAAAAAGAGGCAAAAGACAGTCCATGCCCTCAAGGAGCTTATAATCTCATGGGGAGGGGGGAGGGAAGGCAGTTAACAACATGTTAAAAATATATATATATATATGCAATGCAAGCTATATACAGGGTGAATAGGAATAATTACCAGAGGGAGGGCACTAGAATTAGGAGGGGTTGGGGAAGGCTTCCTGTAGGAAGTAGGATTTTAGTTGGGACTTAAAGGAAGTGAGAGAGGTCGGTCATATCTACTATGTCCATAATCTGTTCATCCCAAAAGCTATTTTCCTCTATCTCTCCTACCTTTGGTGGCTAAACTCCTTGAGAAGACCTTGCTATGTGCCAGATACCGTGCCAAACACTGGAGATACAAAGAAAGGACAAATAAACCTCCCCCCCCCAAAAAACAACAACAATAACAACAACAACAGTAACAACAACAACAACAACTAGTTCCTGCCTCTCAAGCAGCTCATGGTCTAGCTTCCTGTGCTAGATCTTCATACAGGTCGTTTCCACTAACTTGGGTGTCTCCCAAGGCGCTGTCCTGGGCCCTCTTCTCTTCTCACTCTATACCACTTCTTTTGGTTAACTCATCAACTCCCATGATCCAATGATCATTTCTGTGCAGATGGTTCTCAGATCTAATTATCCAGCCCTAACCTCTCTCCTAACTTCCAGTCTCACAGGTCCAACTGCCTATCAACCCTCTCAAACTGGATGGCCCATAGACATCTTAAATTTAACAGGTACAACACTGAGCTCCTTCTCTTCCTCCTCATCAAACCATTTCCTCTTCCTCATTTCCCTGTTTCTGTCAAGGTCACCACTATCTTACCAGACATCCAGGCTTGCAAACTAGGTGTCATTCTCCACTCCTCATTCTCTCTCTCACCTCTCATATTCAATCAGTTATTATGTCCCGTAGATTCCATTTTTGTAGTATCTCTTGTACACCACCCCCACCCTCCTCTGACTGCCCCCACTGGTCAGCACCTCATCATGACATGCCCAGTAGCCTGCTGGTGGGTCTACCTGCCTCGGGTCTCTCCCCACTCCAGGCCATCCTCCACTTCACTGTCAAAATGATCTCAACATCCAAGTCTAAGCATGTCATCCCCTACACAATAAACTTCAGTGGCTCCCTATCATCTCCAAGATCAAATATAAAAACCTCTGTTTACCTTTTTAAACCCTTCACAACCCGGCCCCCTCCTCTCTTCCCCAGTCTTCTTACATCTTATTTCCCTCCATGTACTTTGCAATCCAGCGACAGTGGCTTCCACACATTCAGTGCCTGGAACTCTTTCCCTCTTCCTCTTTGCCTCCTGACTTTCCTGGTTTCTTTCAAGTCTCAGCTAAAATCTTGTCTTCTATAATTAGTCTTTCCCAATCTCTCTTAATCCTAGCATTTTCCCTCTGAAATTATCTCCTGTTGTTCCTGTGTATATTTTGTTTGTACATAGTTGTTTGCATGTTACCTCCCTCACTGGACCGTGAGCTCACTGAAATCAGGGACTCTTTTTTGTCTTTTTTTATACCCCCAGGTCTAACTCAATGCCTGGCACATAGTAGGTGCTTAATAAATGCTTATTGTCTTGACTATCTGCAGTACCCCACACTCACAGGCCCCACTTTCTTGATCCTCCAATGGCCAAATTTGGCTGTCAGAACCACAAAACATTCACTTTATTTTTTTATTGCTGTTCAGAAAGTGATAATATGATAACTGAGAGGCAGCCTGGGAGAATGGACAGAATCCTCACCTTGGAATCAGGAAGACTGGGATTCCAGATTCTGACTCACATTGGCTGTGTGACTTTGGGTAAGTAATTTAACCTCTCAGTGTACAAAGCAACAATCTAAAACTCTAACATTTAGGACAGTTACTGATGAGCAGTGGGAGAGAAAGTTTCCTCACAATTCTTTTTTTTCTTTCTGGCAATTGGGGTTAATTGACTTGCCCAGGGTCATATAGCTACTAAGTGTCTGAGGCCAAATCTGAACTCAGGTCCTCCTGACTCCAGGGCTGGTACTCTATCCACTGTACCACCTAGCTGCCCCTTACAATTCTAGCCAAAAAGAAAACAACACCAACACCCAAAATGGTAGCATAACATCCAGAATGAGGGAGGGAACTGATTATCCCAGGTATTCTGTCCTAGTCAGATCATATCTATGCTGTGTTCTGGGCACCACATTTTAAGGGGGACATTGTCCAACTAAAGGGTGACTTCAGTCAACCTAACAACTTTCCTGTAAGTTCTCTTGTCGTTTTTGTTGTTGAGTCATCTTTCAGTTGTGTCCAACTCTTCGTGATCCCATTTGGGGTTTTCTTGGAAAAGATACTGGAGTGGTTTGCCATTTCCTTCTCTAGATAATTTTACAGATAACAAAACTAAGGCAGAGTTAAGTGACTTGCCCAGGGTCACACAGCTAGTAAGTATTTGAGGCCAGATTTGAACTCAAGTCCTCCTGACTTCAGGGCCGGTGCTCTGTCCACTGTGCCACCTAGCTGCCCCTATAAATCTTATGATTTAGAAAAGTTTTTCTAAAATCTTACGATTCTGTAATTAGAGTCAATTCTCAATTATCCATTTGAATGGACGAGAACAGAGGAAAGGATGTTCTGGAAATGCCTGCTAAGCCAAAGATCACCCGCATTTGGTTCTGGAGGATAATGAGAGAAATACTCATTCAGCAACATGTGAACAAGCCAGGTTTTCGCTCACTGAAGCCCTTCTTTCTGTGCCCATTCCTGGCCTTTTGCAGGATGGTGTAGTAGGACACTAGACTTGGAGTCTTGGGATCACAGATCTATTGCTGGAAGGGACCTTCAGAGACAACAAGATTCCAACCCCCACATTTTACAGAACATGGAGAGTTGAAGCGACCAGCCCAGGACGACATTGCTGAAGTGGGATGGGTACCCACATCTTCCAGATGCCAAGTCTAGTGAGCCATGCTCCGAGGAGTCAGAAGACTAGAGTCTTAGCTCTGCCATTAGTCATTGGGATGATTTGGAGTCAAGTCATTTCTCAGAACCTCAGTTTACCTATCTGTAGGATGGTGGCAATAATATTGACATGATTTCTTCCTGGGATTGTTATGAAAGCATCGGCAGTTTGGGAAAGCTGAGAATGATTATCATTGATACTCCCTGGTGCAGAGGCAGAGGTCAGAGATCATCTGCCCAGCAGATAAATCCCTTTATTGTGAATTGCGTCTCTCCTTTGGTTGACGTGGCATTGAGCCTTTCTCTAAAAGTCAGAGTTCAAGGTATTTCAGAAGTTATTTATGCAGCCTACAATACTCCTGAGGCCTCCAGAACCAGATTAAAATGTAATTGGAAAATAGTTAATAAAATAAATAAAAGTACACTAGAACACATTACATAAACATGTGATTTTTCTATATTAATATGGAGCAAGATTTAGTGACCCCCCAATCCTTTTTGGGTTTGACCCCACTGCTTTATGCAACTGTCAGGTATGAAGAAGGTGATATGATAGAGAGAGTCTTCTCATCCAGGATGCCTTATACCAATAAAATCCCTGGTCTAGTCCTTATTCTTCTAATGTCTTTACTTTAAAGACAGAGAAATTGAAGCTCAGATAATTACGCTCTTGGAGCAAGTTAGAGAATCTAGGCCTCCTAGTTAAGAGCTCTCTCTATCAGACTACCATTAGATTGCTTAGACCTAGAGATCTAAACCAAAACCACAGCTGATTTCTGGCTAGTTAATATAAATGGCATAGGACTGAAGTGCACGTGATCAACGTAAGCTGTTTGTGCCACCTTTGGCCACCCGGCTGCCAAAAATCCTAGGATCATAGATTTAGAGATAGGAGAGACCAGAGCACCCAACTCCCTAATTTTACAGATGAGGAAACAGAGGCACAGAACGGTCAAGTGACTTGCCTAGGATCGCACAGCTAGTGAATGTCTGAATTCAGGTATTCCTGAGTCTGCACCTAGCCGTGAGTCCCAGCTACCTAGTCAACAATACCTAGCTCTCCAGAAGAGAAAGGAGATGAAGCTGGGGAGAGAAAGACAGAAGCCACAAGTATTTAGGCTCATATGGCAGGCACCAGGTAGCCTGCCAAAAAACCTGTGAGGAAGGGCAATGGAACCAATGGAAAGAGGTCATTATTCAGGCTGATCTGGCTTAGGAAAAGAAAGGGCCCTTCCCTGCATGGTCTCAAGTGGGCATAGGTGGCAGGAGAGATTTGAATAGAACCAACACTGAGCATGATTCTGTGGTACAGACCCCATGTGGTACTGTGCAAAGCATCTTGGGTTAGGGCTGAGGTGATCTGGATTCCAACCCAACACCATCTGTAAAATCTTAGGTAAGTCATTTCACTTTTCTTGGTCTCAGTGTCCTTATCTGAAAAATGAGATTGGTGATGAGTGGTCCTATCTACCTCAGAAGGTTATTGCATCTATCGAATGAGATGATGTTTCTGAAAGCAGCTTTGTAACTAATTGATAACAATAACTAGCATTGATATGACTCTTTAAGGTTTGCAAAGCACTTTACAAATATTATCTCATTTTATCCTCACAGTAACCCAGGGGGGTAGTACTATTATTATCTCCCTTTTACAGGTAAGGAAACTGAGACAGACAGAAGGTAAGTGATTTGCGACGTCACACAGCTATTAAGTGTCGGAGACTGGATTTGAACTCAGGTCTTCCTAACTTCAAGTCTGGTGTTCTAGCCACTGTACCTCCTAGCTGCCTTAATAGAATAGTAAAGTCCTATTCAGATGTAAGGGATTATAGAAGCAGACAAATAAATGCTTGAAGAGAGTGAAAGGAGCGTATTTGAAGGCCTGGGAAGCCAGTCTCTGTCTTCCAGTTTGCTCTAGGAGAAGCCATTTGCAAAGTCTTATAATAATATCCCCATCTTCAAGTGACTTTTCATAGGCCATTGAAAATGTTTTCATGTTGTTTTCTGAACAGCCTTTCCCACATTTTACAATTGAGGGGAAAAAACTGAGAGATAAAATGAGATTTCATCCATTTTTATCTCATTTATCAGAGAGATAAAATTACTTGTCCAAGGTCACACAGATATTTAATGGGAGATACACTCCCACACCAAGATCATCTAGCCTTAAATGGAAGAAAATTGGTCTTACCTTTTCTTGTCGTTGGAAAAACACTGTAGGAATTCATTGATATCAAACCCAATGGTCAATACTTGGTCTTTATTTATGGCTGTAAGATCAGAAGTTTGTTCAATCACACATGCAGACGGCCTGTCAGGAGATTTCTTTGTGCCTAAAAAGAGCTTCATAAAATCAAAATTCTAAGCAACAGACTAAATGCTCTTTCACAGGTGGAAAAAACGAATCTCACAGAGACTCAGTCTGAGTCTGGCACACCTCTACTTTTTGTTTTTCAGTCATTTCAGTTGTGTCCCACTCTTTGTTACTCCATCTAGGGTTTTCTTGGCAAAGACACTGGAGGGGTTTGCTATTTTCTCCTCCAGCTCATTTTACAGATGAGAAAACTGAGACAAACAAAATTAAGTGGCTTGTCCAGGATCACCCAGCTATTAAGTATCTGATGCCAGATTTGAATTCAGGAAGAGTCTTCCTGACTCCAGGTCTGGCACTCTATCCACTGTACCACCCAGCTGCCCCCATCCCCCTACTTTGGAGTATTTTTTCAGTAGGACATTTGGCCAAGTCATTGCTAGAAGAACTAGAATATATGGCTAAACAATCTGACTCTTCCTTTGAGTACATGCCTGGTACACACATTTAATAATTGAGCATCTACTTTGGACACACATGCCTTTCGAAGTTCCTCCAGTGCTGTTGAATAGATCTTATTCATATTATCCCAATAAGAGTTAGGGTGATGAAGGGCAAAAAAAGACTGGTCTTGGAGTTGAGTGAGCAGAGATCTAGTCCTGGTTCTGATACTTACTCTGATACTTGTGAACCTTGGTATGCCCCTTAAAAATCTCTCTCTGCCTCTGTTTCCTCATCTGTAATTTGGGTAATGATACCTTGCTGCCTATCCCCCAGGAATGGTATAAGGATAGCACTTTGTAAAACTTAAGGCGCTATGTAAAAGTGAAATATCTTCATCATAGCAACTCTGTGAAGGAGATAGGGTAGTTATTATTCTCATTGGATAGTTGAGGAAACAGGTTCAGTATGAGTTAAAGATGAAATGATGTTGGATCTTAGAGTCAATAGAGAATCATGGGGGTTAACTGAGTAGGGGAGTGGCCTGGTCAGCTGTAAGGAGGATAGAAAGGAGTAGGCAGAGACCTGAGGCAGGGATAGCAATTGGGATGCTATTGTAATAGTACAAGCTTGAGGAGATGAGGGCCTGAGAGAGGGTAATAGCTGTGTGAATAGAGAGAAGAGAATTGGTATAAGAAATGTTGTGCAAGTCAATTGACAGGATTTGGCAAATGATTAGATACATGGGACGAGGGAAAGTAAGATGTTTGGTTTGCTAATCTGGAGAGACTAAAAGAATAGACACGGCAGAAATAGGAAACTTCAGAAGGGGAGATGGATTTTAAGGAGATCTCTGAGGGAGACTATGACCTATCCATCCATGCTTCTCCTGAGTAGCTCACTCTGTCCCACCAAAAAGGAGATTGGAGAGAGTGTCATATCAGCCACTGCCTAGGAGGAAAAGGGGACCAGCAGGGAGGGCCTACACTGGGGGTGGGGAGGAATTTTTGCCTGAACAGCTGCTGGTGCAGGTGCCTGGGCTGTGGTTAGGTTTTATCTGCCCTAGGGACCTCTACTAAGAGCAGAAGGGAAGATTTTTGGAGAGGGGGGGAAGAAGGGTTCTTCAGCAATAGTGACTAAAGGGGGTGGGGTGGTGGCCCGATCGACTGTCATAGGAAAGGTGAGATGGAACCCATCCTTCTAACTTCTGGCTGATTACTGCCTTGGGGTCAGTGCACAGCCTACTGGAGATACAAGGTCCTTACTTTGGAAACCGCTGGTCTATCAAACGAGTAAAACCAAGTTTGTGGCTTTAGGTGACACATAAACCAGATTCAAATTCAGTTCACACACAAACTTTCACAGATCCCAGTGCTGGTCCCTCATGGCTCAGATCTGGTCAGTCATGTCTCATACATGAAGTCTATTGATTATAGGGAGATCAGATGAGAGGGTGAAAATGCTTCACTATAGCTCACCTCCACCACTGGAATAACAACTCAAATATGCTTTCCTACTGATGGTGAGTCAGAAGTATCATCTTCTCATACAAAGGAGAGGATGTTTTCTGTCATGGATACATCCATTATCTTGACTGACCTGCCTGCCTATGCTTGCAGTGATGCTGATACTTGTTGCCGATGGAGAGGTAAGGACAAATACATGTGAACCAGGGCTGGTTTGTCATTTATCAGTTTATTAATTTTATTTATTTATTATTTATTATTAGGTGAGCTGAGACTCTGACCCTGTGGGTCAGGAGGGATCTGATAAACCAGGACTTTGATTTGATAACTTTTTTGACAAGTCATCACCTTGATAACTAGAGGTGGTAAAATATGGGACAAAAGGCATATATACTTGTCTTTGCTTGACTAATGTCCCACAGGGACACAGGTAGTCAACAAGGGGAAGGTTGGAGCTTAAACCAAGAAGGAGAAGCTAAGGATTAAGGATGATGAGAGTACAGGAGGTGAGGATCAGGCAAGAGGCAAGAAAAAGGCCCAGGAATAGGCAGCTGTCTAGGGTCCCAAAAGGTCAAAGAATCAGGGATGCAGTAAGTCAGGAGAAAGTCCAAAGTATAGACAATATACACGGACAAGAATAGGTGCAGGTCTAGGAATCTAGGAAGACAAATAAGCTAGTCATAACACCAAAGTTCAGAATATAGTATATTCTTAATATATTTCCTATCGTGAAAGGGAATGGGGCTAGAGTAGGGGCAAGCAAGAATGGGAGAACTAACATGGACATTGAGCCCACTCCCCTCCTTTTACAGATGGGAAAACAGAGTCCCAGAGAGCTAAGTGACATGCCCAAGGTTACATAGCTATTAAATGCCTGAGTTAGGATTCAAACTCAGGTGTTTCCAACTCTAAATCCAGCACAATGCAATATATGCTATTGCTGTTGTTTGTTGTTCATTCATTTTCAGTTGTGTCTGACTCTCCGTGACCCCATTTGGGGTTTTCTTGGCAAAGATACTAGAGTGGCTTGCCATTTCCTTCTCCAGCTCATTTTATAGATGAGGAAACTGAGGCAAAGAGGGTTAAGTGACTTGTCCAGGGTCACACAACTGGTAAGTGTCTGAGGCCAGATTTGAATTAAGGAAGATGAGTCTTCCTGACTTCAGGCCCAGCACCATTCAGCTGCTCCAGTGCCAGAGTGTCTCTAAACATAAATATTATAATTATTACTGTAATGTCTCTACCGTCTAAATGAGAGCATTACTAGTGATTCAGTCACTATCACTTCAAGAAGATGTCTTATTTAGAAATGAGAAGCCCCCTTTGTCAGTGAAAATTCAACCTATGCAGCTAAGTGGTACAATGGAAAAAATCCTGGTCTGGATTCAGGAAGACCCGAGTTCAAATTCAGCCTCAGACACTTACTAGCTATGTGACCCTAGGCAAATCACTTAATCTCTCTTTTCCTCAGTTTCTTCAACTGTTAAATGAGGATAATAATAGCATCTGTCTGGTATGTAGTAGGTGCTATCTAAATGCTAGTTGTTATTATTATTACTATTAATACTATACATTAATTGAAACCTTAAATATCTAACACACTCCCAGAAACCCACTCCATTCACCATCAGAATGGAAAAGGACTCAAATTACCTGCAGTTTACTCATCTCTTGGGGTGGACTTGCCTCGTTCTGGCAATCACATAGCAGATCAAGAGAGAGGAAATCAGTAGAGTCCTAGAAACAAATAAATAGAATCATTACCATTCAAACACTTGAAAAACAAAAGTATGCTTGGAATTGTTCTGCTTTTCTGCTTCTGTGTAGAGCCCTAAATGCTGGCAGAGGGGAAGGGGGAAAGGGAGGAAAGTGGGGGCAGGAGGCACAAACGAGAGGCGGGAGGACTTTGACCACTTCCAATGGACAATAATAGATCCCAGACCATTGATCTGGGTTTCATCAGCTAGGGAATGGCTGAACAATTAGTGGTATAGAAATGTAACAGGATATTATTGTGTCATAAGAAATGACGAAAGGGACAGTTTCCCTTTAAAATTTAATTAAAAAAAAACTTTTCATAAAAAATAAAATTAGCTAGCTGTATCCCAGACACCAGGAACCTCAAAGAGTAATGAGTTCTAGGGCCAATGGTTTCAGGAGCCAGTGCTGGTGATACTCGCCCCTTCCAGTGGTCACCTTTTTCAAAGTGTCCCGTTAACATTTCAGAATACAAATTAAGGCCACATCTTGTAGGAAGCCTTTCCTAATTAATCCCACCCCTCTCTACTCCACCTCCCCTTCAGTCCAAGAGTACAGCACTTGATCCCTTGCCTTTCCATGAACTTGTCAAATACTATCTCTATAGATCTTTATAGATCAGATACTTCTCTGGATTGCTTTGATTATTAGATTAGAGGACAAAACTAATCTTGCTTAATTAGTAAGTAATCTTCGTTATATACCCCAGGTACCAATTCAGTTCATGTCCTGTGAACCCTAATAATATGTTGACTGACTCCACATTGCTTTCTAAATTAAATTTTATCATCAGTATTTATGGAACATCTGCCATTTGCTATCTTGTAGCTATCTGTTATGATGGCCAAGTCCAGATTTAGCCTTGTTCCCTTTATGTGTTTCTCTTACTCCTCCATTTGTATTTTTTTTTTAACTCTGTACCATAGACTTGGGGTCAAAAATCTCTTTATTGTATTTTCTAACAAAATACAGTTAAGTGGATCTGGAAATAATTGGCTGACCAGACCCAAAGCATATTGACTAATTGATTAATGTCAATGTGGAGGTAGGTCATTGAGTCAGTTATATGACTTTGTCATTGACCTGATTCTGTTTAATATCCAATGGTTTGGATAAGGCAGGCTTATCAAATTTACAGATGGTACAAAAGAGGAAGAGAGAGTTAATACATTGAGTGACATTGTAGGAAGGGAAGGAAATAAGTATTTATTATGTGCCTACAATACACCAGGCATTGTACTGAGGGTTTTATAAATATTATTTCATTAGTGTAGGAATTCAAAAGGAATTGGACTGGTGAGGTAGAAACAAATAAGATTTAAGAGGGATAAATGTAAAATATTGCAGTTAGATTTAAGAAATCAGTTACATAAGTAGAGAATGAAAGAGACATGGATAAAAGTAGTTCATACTAAAAAACAAACAAGCAAGCAAACAAAAACCCATCTTGGGGTTTTAAGGGATTGTAAGCCCAATATAGCAATGTTATGTGGAAACTGAAAACCAATGTGTTCTCAGGCTACATCAATAGAAGAACATCCAGAGCAAGGGAAGCAATAGTCCTGTTTATTCTATCCCCATCAGACCACATCTGGAGTACTTTGTCTAGTTATGGTCACCACATTTTAGAATAAACAAGTCACTTTGTATAGTGCTGAAAGGTTCATGAAACACTTTCCTCCTAGTCACCTTGCCCCATCTGTAAAATGGGAATAAATGGCATGTGTACAACCTACCTCACACTGATTCTTTAAATAGTACTTACATCTATGAGCCCTAAGCCATCCACAAACCACCCAGAGGCCTGACAGTTTCATTTTGGGGTTCTGGCTTTTTTTTGTTTTTCTAAACCACAAGATTTGAGGAAGTGAGAACTAAGTTGTTTAAAGAACACACATTTAAATAACCATTAGAGGAAAAGCAGCTCTACTCTGAATGGACCTTATCTTCTCAAGTTCAGTTCAAAAAGCACTTATTAAGTACCTTCTACCTGCCAGGCACTGTGCTAGATGCTGGAGGCATGAACAGAAAGACAAAGAACTTATATTCTATTGAGGAGAATAACATGTATAGAAATTAAATATATACAAAGTACAGAGTTCGGTAGGAGGAGGCAGGGAGGGAATCAGACCCCACTTAAACTGGGCTTTGAAGAAAGCAATGCAATCAGCCCTCTTTTAGTTGAATGCTTGGCCAAGGCAGACACAGGCTCTTCAAGTAGGCTAGTTAAAGTTTCAAATGAAATCAGGGCAACCAAGGTGGCACAGTGGATAGAGTGGTGAATCTAGTGTCAGGAAGACCACTGAATTAAAATCTGGCCTCAGACACTTACTAGCTGTGTGACCCTGGGAAAGTTACTTAATCTTGCTTGCCTCAATTTCTTCATCTATAAAATGAACTGAAGAAGTCAATGGCAAATCACTCCAGTATTTTTGCCAATAAAAACCCAGATGGGGTCATGAAGAGTCTGACATGACTTAACAATAACAACAACAATAACAACAACAGGACTTTATAAAATCACAATGATCAATCTTCTTGGACAACATCAACACAACTTTTAATTTTTAAAAAACTAGCATTTATTAAGTACCTGCTATGTACCAGACACTGTGCCAAGTGTTTACAACTTTTCATTTTATTCTTGTGACAACTCTGGGAAGTAAGTACTATTATTACCCTCATTTTACAAACAAGGAAATTGAAACTGACAGAGGTTAAGGGACTTGCCCAGGTTATACAACTAGTAAGTCTCTGGGACTAGATTACAACTCAAAGTCTACCTGATTCCAGGCCCAGGATTCAGTCTCCACTCTGTCACCTAGCAGCCCCTATCATCTTTTGACATGGGAAATGAAGCTCACTGGTCTTACCTTGATAAGATGACACCACTAGGAGCCCAATAAGTACTCAGAGGTATCGTCAGCTCCTACCACAATGGACGGTTCCCCACCTGAAAACCAAACAAAAAGAAGGGAAGATAAACACAGGATAGGCATTTAATCCAAACCTCTCCTTCCTCCTATTGTCTCAGTTGTGGACCTCGCTTCTTCCTTTAATGAAAAAATTGAGACCATTCAACGTGACTTCCCTCTTTTCCCTGTTCTTCATTTCAAAACCTTTTGAAATCATCTCCCACATTGTCCTCCTGTCCTTCAGTGTTTGACGATGAGGTTCCTCTTCCCCTTGCTGGAGCCAATTCCTCTACACATGCTCTTGATCCCATTTCCTAGCATCTTCTCCAGTAGATTGATACCTCAATCATCCCCTGTAGAATTCTTAATTTCCTCCCCCTTCACTGGTTCCTTCTCTACAGACTTCAAGTATGTCTTTCTCATTTATCCTTAAAAACAAACAAAACAACAACCAAAAAAAAAAAAAACTACCCTCTCCTCTTTCAACTTTACCATTTTAATTAAGGATATCTTGAGGGTACTATCCTTCTAATCTCTCAGATTTGCAATTTTGCGCCCTTGGCCTGTATCTTACCAATTGCCAAATCTTGCCATTCTACCTCACCAACATCTTTTGAATCCAACATCTCTCTACTTATACAGTCACCACCTTAGTTCAGGCTCTTATCCCCACTTGCCTAGTTAGTTGCAGTGACCTCCCAGACTCGACACTCTCCCTGGTCCACTCTTCAATGCTACCAGTGATTTTCCTTAAGCATAGAAGTGATCATATTACTTTCCTAATCAATAAACTCCAGTAGCTCCCTATCGTCTTTAGGATAAAATGTAAATTTGTTTAGCTTTTAAAACTGTATACCCTCTGGCCCCAACATATTGCTAGCCTCATTGCATTGTGTATTGCTTCCTTTGCCCCACTCTGTGATCCACCCAAACTAGCCTTCTCTCTGTCCCTCACACAGGGCAATCTCCATCTTTTATCACCATACCTTTGCACTAGTCACCTTCCTGAAATGCACTCCCTCTTCATGTTTACCCCATAGAATCTCTCCCTTTAAGATTGAGTTAAGGTACCTACCACCTTCCATGCTTCCTTACCCCCCCCCCTTCTATGTTACTCTGATACATGTTATCCTTTGTTCTCGAAGAGGACCAAAATGATGCTATGTTGGGGTCAAGGTACAGTGTGTCTGACTGTGGCTGATCAGACCAATACAAGCTTGGAAGACTCTACCATAGGTCAGGTATAAATAGTCCATATAATACATTACTGGTAATTTGAAAGATAATTTTAAAAAAAATTCTGAGGTCTTTCAAACACTTTTCCTGTATATTTTACACTAGTTAAAAGAAACCCAAGTGGATGAATCCAGGTTGTATGTAATGGACAGTAAAAATGCTCATCAATGTACCTGTAATATAATTAATGATTTAAAATATACTTAAGTATAAAATAAAATTCGCCATTATCATGTTTAAAATAATAATTTTTTAAAAAATATAAAGCCTTTCTAAATCCTCCCAAAAGCTAATGCTCTCTGTCTCCAACTACCTTGTATTTAAGTACTTAGTATTTATTTGTAAGTATTCGCTTTATAGCCTGCATACATTTATACATGTGCTTATCTCCTTCATTAGAAAGTAAACTCTTGAGGCAGCTAGATGGTGCAGTAAATAGAGCACCAGCCCTAGAATCAGGAGGACCTGAGTTCAAATCCAGCCTCAGACACATAACACTTACTAGCTGTGTGACCCTGGGCAAGTCACTTAACCCCATTGCCTAGCCAAAAAAAAAAAAAAAAGAAAAAAAAGTAAACTCTTTAAGAGTAAGGATTCTTATTCTTTGTATTTGTGTCTCTAGAACCAGCACAGTGTATGTGCTTAATAAACGACTATTGATTGATTGATTCATACTTTTAACAAAATTCCCCACAGTGCATATCACAGTACTGAGTAGATAGTGAGCATTCAATAAATAGTGTTTGAATGAACACGAAGTATTTAATCACTGAAACAGAAACAGAAAGATTGAAAGAAAATGACTTTTAAAAATCTTTAAAAGGTTTCATTGAAGTAAGAATATGGGGGGCAAATGAAAGATAAAAACTGAGGCAAGAACATTAAACAAATGGCTAGTGAAATACCAGATAAGGTCAAAGGAAGGAGAATAGATACTTAGCCTTGGTCAAGTCAGAAGGCCCAGGTTTGAGTGCTGACTGACTACCATTAACACCTACATAACTTGTCACTTCACATCTCTTGATTTTAATGTCCTCATGAAAAAAATGAATGTCTCTGACCAGATAATCTCTAAGGTCCTTTGAAATACAATTTCTACTGTCCTAAGTAACACAGTAATACCTGAGCTACCAGGGCACAATCACTAAAGAATTTGTGGATGTCAGTCAAGTGTATGGAAAATTATGTGGGGCCTTGTTAAAGGGATTTGGGTGAAGGAAGGAGAAGATTAAGAACAAGTCATTAGAGTCTAGACAAGGGGGCTAGGAAGCAGGAAGGGAGGGAGTGGGGGGCGCCAGGCAGGGGTGTTGACATTGCTCCCTTGCCCAGAGCCCACCTGCCTGCTCTGTCCCCTTCTTCCTTCCTGTGATGTGTGTTTTCCTGGGGGACCAGCTTCGGGAAGCCACCATGGACATCTTTGGGGACTTAAGGAAGATGAATAAGCACCAACTGTATTAGCAGGTTTTAAACTTTGCCATGATTGTATCTTCTACTCTTATGATATGGAAAGGCTTGATAGTTGTCACTAGGAGCAAAAACCCTATTGTGGCGGTTCTGAATGGCAGTATGGAATCAGCATTTCATAGAAGAGACCTTCTGTTTTTAACAAATTTCTGGGAAGATTCTATTAGAGTTGGTGAAAAAGTTCACAGAGTCATCAAAGTTCAGGAAAAAGACAATGGAAATGTCAAATTTCTGCTTAAAGGAGATAATAATGAAGTTGATGATAGAGGTTTGTACAAAGAAGGTCAAAACTGGCTAGAAAAGAAGGATGCTGTAGGAAGAGCAAGAGGGTTTTTGCCATATGTTGGGATGGTTACCATAATCATGAATGATTATCCAAAATTCAAGCATACTCTTTTGGCTGTAATGGGTGCATATGTGTTACAGAAACGTGAATCCTAAAATGAGAAGCAATTCCTGGGTCTGGACTGAAATAGATTCAATTGAAAAAAAGAAAAACTAATATATCTGAAATGTTTTACTTTCTATATAAAAGAAAACAGTGTGCAGATTTTTTTGTCTTATCCAAATAAATGGTTCATCAGTAAATAATTTTAAAAAAAGAACAGATAATTATAGGGATCTAAAACTGAGCAGATGTTGTTCTGGCAGAGAATCAAGAGGATCTCGCTCTGCTCCATATTCCTTAAAAATTGTACAAATTATATCCTAGTCAGCCAAGGGAAGCAATGTTCTACCTAACACCTCAACTCCCTTAACAACTTTGTAATTAGTAATAGATGCATTCAAACACAGAGAATAAGTTTTATGATGACCCCAAAGAGAGGTTCTGTTCAACCGAATGGACTACTGGCTGCCCTCAGGAAGTTTGGAGGGTGGCTCAACCTCTATCCCTCTTACTTGTAGCACTGTCCTGGTCCTCTCCAATGAGCTCAGAGGTTATGTCCAATTCCTGTCTGAAATATGGATCCACTTCCATCTTTTGGTAGCCTTAATAGCTCTCTCCTGGAGGCCTAGTACAATACCCTTAATCCAGTTAATTTTAGGTATCAGCAAAAATAATGTGAAATATGAGAAAAGGTCAGGAACCCCTTCTAGAATTCTAATCCCTGTTTTACAGATAGGAAAGTGAATCAGCTTGCCCAAGGTGACACACGAAGGTAGTGGTAGAACTAAAGACTATAGGTTCTTGCTTCTAGTCTGCTTTGGCGTTCTACAGGCTATCCTCTGTGACTTTGTACGCTAGTTGTACATTGTTTCTAGACTGATTAGAGGCAGCTAGGTGGTAAAGAGGATGGAGTGTTGCAGTCAGGAAGATCTGAGTTCAAATCCTACCTCTGATGCTCACTAGCTGTGTGATCTTGGACAAGTTGCCTAACCTCTGCCTGCCTCAGTTTCCTCAACTGTGAAATTAGGGTTGTGATGAGGGTCAAGTGAGATAATATTTATAGAACACTTAGTACAGTGCTTGGTACATAATACATGCTTAATAAATGTGTGTTCCCTCCCCTGATAAAAATATTATAGCTAGAAGATCATAGGATCCTAGCTTTAGAGCTGGAAAGGACCTTAGCCATCCTCTAGTCCAAATCCCTCATTTCCACATAAGGAAACAAAGGTCCAGAGAAATGACTTGACCAAGTCCATACAGGTAAGTGGCAGAAGTGGGATAGGAACCCAGGTCCTCTGACTCCAAATCCAAAGCTCTTTCCTCTGTACCATACTGCCTCTAAAGTAACTTAAACCAGTAAGAAACATCTTTCAAGCCTATTCATGATTTAAGAAATTTAAACCTTCTTTGTTTGCACTATGACCTCCAATGGCTCTTCCAACCCTGCTCATTTCATCTCTGTATATTATATATACATATATTTGTACCATATATTGTTGTAATCAACGTTCATTTAATCATCAAGATGCACATAATTATAAAATCATAGATTTAGAATTGTAAAGGACCCTTCAAAGTCATCTAAGCCAACCCTTCTGATTTTACCATTTGGAAAACCAAGGTCCAGAAAGGTTGTGACTTGCCTAAGGTCATCGGTTCAGTCGTTTCAGTTGGGTCTGACTCTTTGTGTGTGACCCCATTTGGGGTTTTCTTGGCAAAGATAATAAAGTGATTTGCCATTTCCTTCTCCAGCTCATTTGACAGATGAGGAAACTGAGGCAAACAGGGTTAAGTGACTTGTCCAGGATCACACAGCTGCTAAGCATCTGAGGCTAGATTAGTCTTCCTGACTCCAGCCCCAGTGTGCTAATCCACTGCACTGAGGTCATATAGGTACTTAAATGACAGATAGCTGATTTGAACCCAGACCCTCTGGTTCCAGCATGACCTCCTTTCCACTGTACCACGCTGCCTCTTAATCCTTCCTCCCTCTCTCCCCTTTGCATTCAACCTCACTCATTTTACAACAAGAGAAGCTAAGAGCTAGAAATGAAGTGATTTGCCTAATGTCAAACAAAATCACCTGGGTGGGTTTATTGAATGCCATATTAGCTTTCTCATTGTAGCACAAGAATTCAAACCCATTTTCATTCACCTTGAGAAGCGAAATTTTCATGGTAGACATTATAGGCTTTTCTGTGGGCATCGGCAATGGCCTGAAAACGAGAAGACCTTGACTCCTGGCGGGGAAGATCCTCCATCACTGCTGCCAAGTCACTAAAAGTGAACCAGATCTCAACCAGGTCCCCAAAGGAGTGGAAGGCAAACAAAGCATAGTCTGCAAAGAGGCCAACAAAGAGGTCACTTTTCCAGGCCCCCGATGGGGAGGCTAGGGCTTGTTTGGGTGATGTTTGATGGTGCAGGACCACCAATGGCTGAAGCTGAGAGGCCCTGAGCACCTCAAGACGTCTTCTGTAGCATTGTACTGCGCTCTGGTCTGGCTCCCAGGAGCTTCCTGTTGGGAGAAGTTGTGCCCAAGGAAGAAGGACTTTACAGTGGGTCACCCCACTGGCATAAAGGCTGCCAAAGTATTCAGGCAAGGTGGCAATCAATGGCTGACTGCAGATGGGAGAGTCCAGGTCAGGTGCGACAAGGTTAGACCCCTGCTCACTTAATGGATGATTCACATCCTGAATCACATCGCTGGGAAGAGGGCCAGCAGCTGCAATGAAATTCCGGGTAAATTCCCAGTCCATTGCCCAGCAGGGAAAACCGAACAGAAGAACAAATAGTATATTCCAAGCCAGCTCCATTTCTAATGACAAATTCTAAAGATGCAGGGATCTTTGGTATTTATACACAAAATCTGGAATTGTAAAATGCTAAAGGATTGTGAAAGGTAATGATTAACGCAGATTATCTGTAAAAATAAACTATAAACTATGTACTCAGCAGAAAGAAAGAGAACATACTGTAGTCTATGGTAGTAGCTAGGTGGCATAGTGACTAGAGCACTGAGCCTAGAGTCAGGAAGACCTGAGTTCAAATTCACCTTCACATACTTACTAGCTGTGTGACCTGGGCAAGCTATTTAACCTCTGTTTACCTTAATTCACTGGAGAAAGAAATGGCAAACCACTCCAGCATCCTTGTCAAGAAAACCCCATGGACAGTATTGGCATGCTATGCTCCATAGGGTCATGAAGAACTAGATACAGCTGAGTGACTTAAGAACTACAAGCAGTCTATGGACCATGGAGGGTACGGTTCATGAGAACCCCAAAATCTGAAATAGTTTTAGAAAGAAACTTATTAAGTTATTTGATGGAGAACAAGCCAGAAAGAAGGTATGGCACCCTCTCATCCAGTCTTTGGAAGGTTTACGTTATATAGGATTTAGATAAGGGTACCCATACACAAAGTGCCAGAGAAGGCAGCTTGAAAATTAGATAGATTGACATGGATAAGCATTCAATAAAATTCAGGTGAAGCCAAATACTGTCTTGGGTGAACCTAAAATAAAACCCAGGTGAGTGATGGGTCCAGGACCTGAGGGAACTCAAAATTCCTTCTCCAGCATTCCTGGAGAGTTACTGAGGTCAGGGTAACATTCTGGGTTCAAACAATGTCTAATCATATAAAGTAAGATTTACAGTATAATAATTAAAAGATTTTCTGAACAATATAATAAACATTTTCCATAAGGGCATCTGCCACCTTCAGCATCTATGGTCATATTACCTCAGGATTCAGTATTACTCATTACATTTATTTTGCATTCAGTTACCTTTTTGTGTTATTGTTATTTATACTATTATGCTCAATTTGTATAACATTCTCCTGGTCCTGCTTACTTTGCTCTGTTTTAGTTCATACAAATTGTCTTGAGTTTCTTGAAATTACTGATACTGATATCTTATGGTTCAATAATAAACCAGTAATCATTTAATAGTAGCTAACATCTGCATGGTGCTTTAAAGTTAACCTCTGTTTGCCTCACTTTCCTCACCTGTAAAATGAAGATAATAATAGCACCTACTTCTCAAGGTAATTGTGAGGATCAGATGAGGTAATATTTGTAAACTGCTTTGCAAATCTGAAAGTGCTATATATAAATTGTTAACTTATTACTATCATGAATATGCATTTTTTAAATTAGAAAGTCATCACATAAACTTAAAATATCACAGAAGAGGAAATATTAAGAATTAGAGGAGAATAGATAAACTAAAAACAAAAACATATAGAAATAATAAAACTAAAAGCTGGTTCTTTAAGAAGACTATTAAAATTTATAAATTTGTCAACTTGATTAAAAAAAGAGGGCAGAAAGTCAAATCAACAAAACAATAAACCAACAAAGTGAAAACTATCAAAGCCAGAAGAAATAATAGCTATTATAAGAACCTATTATGCACAATGGTATACTAACAAAACAGAACATAAAAGAATTAAAGAAATCCCTTCAAAAATATAAAATACCCTAATAACTGAAAACCAGACAGAACTGGTAATTGAATAACCCAACATCAGAAAAGGAAATAAAACTATCTGTAAAGGAATTACCAAGGGAGTGGGAGATGTGAGACTGGTAGTGATAGATTTACTGGAGAATTCTATCAAACTTTTAAAGAAAAATTAGTACCAATAATACACAGATTATTCTCAAAAGTTGAGAAAGAAAACATTCTACCAAACTGCTTTTATGAGACAAAGATAGTTCAAATACCTAAACCAGAGAAGGATAAAGCAATGAAGGAGAACTATAGACCAATATCATTAGTGAATATTGATTCAAAATTTTAAAATAAAATCCTACCAAACAGACTACAGAGATTCATCCAAGAAATCATTCATCATGACCAAGTTGGATTTATAACAGGGAAGCAAGGATGGTTAAACATTATATAAATGATAAACATAATTAATTATATTAAAAACAAAAAAATTCAAAACCACATGATTATCCAATCGATACAAAAAAATCTTTGACAAAGTACAACATTCATTTACATTATAAAATATAGGCATAGGGGAATTTTTTAAAATGTCATATGAAGTATCTCTCTAAAACCACAGGCAAGCATCATATGTAATGGAGAGATAGGAGAAGTATCGGAAAATATGAGATATATTCCCAATAACTCCAGGAGTAAAGCAAGGATGCCCAATTCCTCCACTATTATCTAATATAGTTCTGTATGTACTAGCAATAGCTATAAGACAAGAAGAAGAAATTAAAGGCATGAAGGTGGGTAAAGAGGAGATAAAACTATCCCTAATTGCTGATGATATGATGGTTTACTAAGAAAATCCCAGAGATTCAGCAAAGATACTGAGTCAATTAATAGTTGGGCAAAGTTGCAGGCTACAAAATAAACCCTCAAAAATCAACATATGATGATCTCCAAGATGCAATGCTAGAAAAGGAAATTCCACTCGAAATACTTACAAAATGCATAAAAGAGAGATCACTCTACCAAAACACACAAAATACCTATATGGATTCAATTACAAAGTGTTCCTTTAAAGAAATAAGGAACACCTTAAATAGCTGAAAGAATGTTAATGCTCATCATCAGGCCATGCCAATATAATAAAATGACAACATTAGAAATACACATTTATAGTTTTAATGCTATACCAAATTATCAAGAGGATACTTAGAGAACTTGATAAAATAATAATAAAATTCATTTAGAAAAAGAAAAGGTCTAGAACAGAGGTGGGAAATCTGAAGCTTTAAGGTAACACGTGGCCTCAGGCTCCCCACCCCTGGTCTAGAATATCAAGGAAAGTAATGAAAAGTTACATGGAAGTTGGGAAAATATCAGAGATTTCAAACTATATTAAAAAGCAACACTAATCAAAGCCATTTGATATTGGCTAAAAGGCACAGAGGTAGATCCATGGAACAGCGTAGAAAAGGGAGATTCAGAAACAATGAAAATAACCCAGCAGTTGATAAACAGGAAAACATAAATTACCTAGGGAAGATCTCCTGATTGGATAAGAACTGCTGGGGAAACTGCAAAGCAGTCTGGTAGCAATTAGACTTAGACCAATTCCTTAAGCCACCATATTCCACAATATATTCTAAATGGATACATAACCATAATATTAAAGATCATATCACAAAAAATTAGAAGAGAACAGAAAACAACTGCTGTGGCACAGAGGCTCTGTGGCTCTGTTTAGGTTTTGAAGGCTTAGAATGAGTGTAAATAGCAATTTTTTTCTGTTCTGGCCAAAAACTTTGAGGAGTCTTCTGCTCCCAGACTGATATTTTTGTGACGGTAAATTAGGCCATCTTTTGTCTCAATTCTTAAATAGCCCTTAGTCATGAATGGGCATGGCCTCAGACAAACTGAAACCTGGGAAAGACCTTAATTTAGAAAGGCAAGGTCACCCACTGCATCCTGGGCCATTGGCTGTCATCTTGACTTTTGTCTTGCCACTGAATTTTGATGATTCTGAAGGATAGAGTGAGGCTTTAGGAAGCTCTGACTCACTTAAATCCAATTCACTTACAAGTCATTGCATTCACAGGGGTGATATCATTGGTCCTCTTTGAGAACAAAGGACTAACCAGAAGAGACATAGATCATATGCCTTTCAAAGCTACTGTTAGGAGATGTGTTATTAACCAAACAAGGTTTAGAGGCAACTCCAAAAGATAAAAAAGATAACTTTGATTACATGAAAGTGAAAAATTGTGCAAATATATAAATATATGCCTTTACAAAATGGCAAAGATGACAAAAGACATGAACAATCAATGGTGAAAAGGATGTGGGAAGAGAGGCGCACTAGTGTGTTGTTGGAGCTATGAATCAATATAACCATTTTGGAAAGTAATTTGGAATTATACAAATAAAATGACTAAAATTTCCACATCAGACCAGTGAAATAGATTAGGTGTACAATACACAGTAGTAAATGACCATAGTAATCTAGTGTTTGATAAATGAAAAGATCCAAGTTTTTGGGACAAGAACTCTATTTGACAAAAATTGTGGGGAAAACTGGAAAGCAACTTGGCATAAACTAGGAACAGACCAACATCTCACACCAGATTCCAAGATAAGATCAAAATGGGTACATGATTTAGACATAAAGGGTGATATAATGCATACATAAATAGATAAATCATCAGCATTTCTATAAATTAGCAACAAAGCCCAGCAGCAAAAGATAGAAAGAGAGATTCCATTTAAAATAACTGTAGGCAATATAAAATACTTGGGAATCTACCTGCCAAGACAAACCTACGAACTATATGAACACAATTACAAAACACTTTTCACACAAATAAAGTCAGATCTAAACAATTGGAAAAATATTAATTGTTCCTGGGTAGGCTGAGCCAATATAATAAAAATGACCTTTCTAATTGATTTACTTATTCAGTGCCATACCAATCAAACTACCAAAATTTTATTTTATAGAGTTAGAAAAAATAATAACAAAATTTATCTGAAAGAACAAAAAAATCAAGAATATAAAGAGAATTAATGAAAAAATGCAAAGGAAAGTGGCAGATCTCAAACTATATTATAAAGTGGCAGTCATCAAAACTACTTGGTTCTGGCTAAGAAATAGAATGGTGTGTGGTGGCAAAGAATTGGAAACTGAAGGGATGCCCATCAGCTGGGGAATGGCTGAACAAGTTGTGGTGTATGAATGTAATGGAATACTATCGTTCCATAAGAAATGATGAGCAGACGGATTTCAGAAAAACCCGGAAAGACTTACATGAACTGATGCTTAGTGAAGTGAGCAGAGCCAGAACATTGTACACAGTAACAGCAAC